TGGTGTGTGCATCCCCAGCAAATGCATTATGGTCCTAGAGTCTTTGAAGCCTCAAGTCTGTCTTGTCTGAGAACAGGCCGTCTCCATCAAAGGGGAGATCCTGCAAAGTTTGCTGAAGCTCTGGTAGTAAGACAGAAGCTTGCAGCCAAGAAATGCGCCTTACTGCTATCCCTGAAGAGAGGGTCCAAGTGGCAGAGTCCGCGGTGTCCAATGAGTTCTGCAAAGCGGTTCGCGCGACCGTTTTGCCCTCCTCTACCAGAGCTCCAAACTCTTCTCTGGACTCTGGAGGAACCAGTTCCTTGAACTTCATCATGGAGTTCCAAGAGTTAAAATTGTATCAGCTCAGGAGAGCCTGCTGGTTTGCAATCCAGAGCTGGAGCCCCCCTGAGGAGTAGACTTTGTGCCCAAATAATTAGAGGTGCTTGACCTCTTGATTTAGGTGCCAGAGCTTGCTGACCATGACGCTCCTTCTCATTCACTGAGGCCACCACCAGTGAACAGGGCTGTGGGTGAGTGTAGAGATAGTCATATCCCTTGGAGGGAATGAAATACTTCCGCTCCACCCCCTTAGCAGTTGGGGGAATGGAGGCGGGTGTTTGCCAGATTCTTCTGGCTGCGGTTTGAATGGTCTGGATAAGTGGTAAGGCCACCCTGGAAGGAGCCTCTGGGGACAAAAGGTCAAACACAGGGTCCTCCACCTCAACCACCTCCTCTGCTTGCAGGTTCATGTTCCACGCCACCCTGCGCAAGAGTTCCTGGTGGGTGCAGAGGTCTATGGGGGTGGGGGGGGTCTGATATAGCAGTACCCGCCACAGCCTCATCGGGGAAGAGGAGGATGCTGCCACAGGAGGGAGAGGATCATCCGGATCCTCTTGCTGAGCTATGCCCCGCTGCTCCGGTCCCACGACCTCTGTGTTCAGGCCAGGAGTTGGAGTTGGAGGAAGAGGAGCTGGCGCCTGTAAGGACGATGCCACTGTCTCCATGCCTCTGGGAGCAGGACGGCTGGCAGAGGCCTCAGGACCTCACGGCTCAGACAGGGCTGAGCGAGAAGCCCCAGAGGGAGCACCCTGGGCCTGGTGGTATGCCAAGGGTGTCCAAAAGAGCCACTGGGTGGACCCTTGAGCGGGGCCCTGTTCTTGCACCTGCCACTGATCCGCCCCTGAGCCCAGGTGACCGTGATCAGAGCGGTGGCAGTCTGAGAAGCGTGACCCTGCCTCAGACCCTGATGAGCGAGAGGCGGAACACGATGGTCATGGTGGTGCCAAGTGGGTCTGCGCCGAATCATGTCGACGAGACAAAGTTGATCGGTACCGCGAAGCTGGAGATCGGTGCCAAGATGCAGAAGAACAGTGCCGCGATACTGGGGAGTGGAGTGGTATCTGGACCTAGATCGGTGCCAGGACCTGGACCAGCACTTGGATCTAGACCTGGGTCTCGATGATGATGACCGGCGTTGGGAGCAGCGTCGGGACCGGGATCTACTCCTGGATGGCGACCAGAACAGTGTCGAGACCAGCACCGGAAAGCGAGAGCGGTGCCAGGACTGCGAACAACATCGGGAGTGGGAATGGCGCCAAGAGCGGGATCGGTATTTAGGCTCAACCGACAGTGCTGGCAGGTGAATAAGAGTCGGCTTGCCCCGGATGATGCCATGCGGGCATGTGGAGGTGCCTTGGTCTGTTGAGGGGATGGTGATACAGTCCAGGCAATCAGATCCCTTGCCGCCACAAAGGTATCTGGTATAGATGGCAACTGGACCTCAACCACGCTGTGAGTCGGGTAGTCCAGTAGCACTGGACTCAACAGCTCCATCCTCGGTGCCAGAGTCAACGGTGCCGAGGCTGTCACCTGTGTCCCCGGGTGCTCTGCTGCGGGACAAGATTCTGCAGGGGGATCTGGAAAGGGTGGTGCCTGCTGAGGTGGGCCAGCCTTTTCCGGCTTCCGGTGCCACTTCTGACCAGGCGAGTGAGAGCAGTGCCAGACTGAAGATATTGGTTGCGGTGCCGGGGAACCTTGGTGCCGCAGCTGTCTATCAGAGTCCGACCACAGCACCGTTCCTGTAGCTGAAGCCAGGGCTCTGCATACCGAAGCTCTCTGCACCGGGTCTTGCCGCACCACTGGAGGCTGAGGACTAAGAGCCGCCTCCATAAGGAGCTGTCTCAAACGAAAGTCACACTCCTTCTTAGTCCAGGGACAAAAGCTCTTGCAAATCCTGCACTTCTCCACCTGGTGAGCTTCCCCCAGACACTTCAGGCAAGAGTTGTGGGGGTCGCCCGTTGGCATGGGCTTGGAGCAGAATCCGCAGGGCTTAAAGCCCGGAGCTTTGGGCATGAGCCCAATCAAGTACGCAGAGGAGGGGAACCCCCTTCTCCCCTACTAATACAAAACTACTATACTATAACTAGAACTACAACTATTAATCCATAACAACAAACTATGAACAAACTGTAGGGTGAATGCTAGAGAGAGTGGAGAGGAGCAAAGCCAAGCTCCACAGTTCCAACGACCATCCTGGGCAGAAGTTTTGTTGTTTGGATGCATCCCCAAGCTGTCCAAATGTTAAACCTGATACTCTAAGCCCTGGTCTATACTACGGGGTTAGGTCGAATTTAGCCGCATTAGGTCGATTTTAAAAATGAATGCGCCTACACAACCAACCCCGTTCCGTCGACCTAAAGGGCTCTTAAAATTGACTTCTGTACTCCTCCATGGCGAGGGGAGCAGCGCTAAAATCGACCTTGCTGGGTCAAATTTGGGGTAGTGCAGACACAATTCAAGGGTATTGGCCTCCGGGAGCTATCCCAGAGTGCTCCAATGTGACCCCTCTAGACAGCACTCTGAACTCCGATGCACTAGCCAGGTACACATGAAAAGCCCCGGGAAATTTTGAATTTCATTTCCTGTTTGGTCAGCATGGCGAGCTCAGCAGCACAGGTGACCATGCAGTCCCCCCAGAATTGCAAACGAGCTCCAGCATGGACCGAAAGGGAGACACTGGATCCGATTGCTGAATGGGGAGAAGAATCTGTGCAGGCCGAACTCCAATCAAAAAGAAGAAATGCTAATATATATGCCAAAATCGCACAGGGCATGGTGAAGAGAGGCTACAACAGGGACACACAGCAGTGCCGCATGAAAGTTAAGGAGCTCGGGCAAGCCTACCAAAAGACAAAGGAGGCAAACGGTTGCTCTGGGTCAGAGCCCCATACATGCTGCTTCTATGATCAGCTGCATGGCATTCTGGGGGGGACCCTACCACTACCCCACCACTGTCCGTGGACACCTGCAAGGGGGAGTCTCATGCAACAAGGAGGAGGATTTTGTGGATGAGAAAGAGGAGGAGGACAAGGACAAGAATGCGCAGCAGGCAAGCAGTGAATCTGTTCTCCGTGGCAGCCAGGATCTTTTCATCATCCTGGAGCCAATACTCTCCCAAGCCGGGATCCCTGACCCTGAAGCCGGAGAAGGCAGCTCTGGTGAGTGCACATTTGTAATACAGTACAGGGTTTAAAAGCAGTAGCGTTTAATGTTTGATTTGCCCTGAAGAATTGGGATGCATTCGCAGCCAGTACCGCTACTGGAAAAGTCTGTTAACGTGTCTGGTGATGGAGCGGGAATCCTCCAGGGACATCTCCATGAATTTCTCCTGGAGGTACTCTGAAAGCCTTTGCAGAAGGTTTCTGGGGAGGGCTGCCTTATTTGATCCTCCACAGTAGGATACTTTACCCCGCCAAGCCAGTAGCAAGTAGTCTGGAATCACTGCAACACAAAGCATGGCAGCAAATGGTCCTGGGTTTTGGTCGCATTCAAGCAACTTTCGGTCTTTATCTTTCTGTGTTAGCCTCAGGAGAGTGATATCATTCATGGTCACCTGGTTGAAATAGGGGAATTTTTGTAAGGGAACAGTAAAAGGACCCCGTTCATGCTGGGTTGTTTGCGCTTGGCTAAAAGGAATCATCCCAGAGAATAGCCACATGGCGGGGGAAGGGGTGAAGCGATCATCCCAGAGAATAGCCACGTGGTGGGGTCGGGGGAGGCATGTGCTGCACGTATACCCAAAAATCGCAGTCCCTCCTTTTAAATGTGAAACCCAACCGGCATTGCTTCCTATGGGAAAGGATGGTGCTGCAGTTTGAAACCATTCCCACATGTTATAAAGGTGTAAAAAGCCAACCCCATGTACCAAAAGGCTTAACATGGCTGCCTGGAAACCGAATGCTGTTGCCCAGACGTTCGTGATGTGTCACCATACTGGCAGGTGCTCAATATAAAAGGCAAAATGTGACCTTGTACCAAAAGCACGTGCTGTCTGCTGTGAATTGTTTGATTCACTGTGAAAGTCTCCCTTTTGTTCTCAGAAATGTATCATCTTAAATTTTACTCTCCCTTTTTATCTCCCCCCAGGTGCAAATGTTTCTATGCTCCCCCTGTCATCTCCGTCCCTGAGGTTATCGCAGATAAGGCGGCGAAAAAAACGCACTAGTGATGACTTGTTTTCCGAGCTCATGCAGTCCTCCCACACTGGTAGGGCACAGCTTAATGCATGGAGGCATTCAGGCAGAGGCCAGGAAAGCATTAAGTGAGCACGAAGAGCAGAGGCAGGAGGTGATGCTGAGGCTAATGGGGGAGCAAACTGACATGATGAAGTGCCTGTTGGAGCTGCAGGAAAGCCAACAAGAGCACAGACCCCCGCTGCATCCATTGTATAACCACCTGCCTTCCACCCCAAGTTCCATATCCTCCTCACCCAGATGCCCAAGAATGCGGGGGGGGGAGGAGGATGGCCTCCAGAGGATGGCCCAAGCAACAGAAGGCTGTCATTCAAACAGTTTTGATTTGTAGTGTGGCTACAATAAGCAAAGTGGCCTTGTCCTTCCCTCCTCCTGCACCCCAACCCACCCGGGGTACCTTGTCAGTTATCTCACTTTTTTTTTTAATTAATAAAGAAAGAATGCATGGTTTCAAAACGATAGTTACTTTATTTTCTTTGCCAGCTGTGATCGAAGTGGGGAGGGTGGTTGGCCTACAGGGAATTAAAATCAACAAAGAGGGCAGGTTTGCAGCAAGGAGAGACACACACAACTGTCACACTGTAGCCTGGCCAGTCATGAAACTGGTTTTCAAAGCCTCTCTGATGCACATCACGCCTAGCTGTGCTCTTCTAATCGCCCTGGTGTCTGGCTGCTCAAAATTGGCCGCCAGGCGATTTGCCTCAACCTCCCACCCCACCATAAACATCTCCCCCTTACTCTCACAGATGTTATGGAGCACACAGCAAGCAGCAATAACAATGGGAATGTTGGTTGTGCTGAGGTCTAACCTAGTCAGCAAACAGTGCCAGTGAGCTTTTAAACGACCAAAGGCACATTCTACCACCATTCTGCACTTGCTCAGCCTATAGTTGAGCTCCTCCTTACTACTGTCCAGGCTGCCTGTGTTCGGCTTCATGAACTGTGGGAACAAGGGGTAGGCTGGGTCTCCAAGGATAACTATAGGCATTTCAACATCCCCAATGGTAATTTTCTGGTCTGGGAAGTAAGTCCTTTCTTGCAACTGCTCAAACAGCCCAGAGTTCCTAAAGATGCGAGCATAATGCACCTTTTCCAGACATCCCACGTTGATGTCGGTGAAACATCCCTTGTGATCCACCAGTGCTTGCAGCACCATTGAGAAGTACCCCTTGCAGTTTACGTATTGGTTGGTAAGGTGGTCCAGTGGCAAGATAGGGCCATATGTTCCGTCTATCGTCCCACCACAGTGAGGGAACCCCATTGCAGCAAAGCCATCTACTATGACCTGCACATTTCCCAGAGTCACTACCCTTGATAGCAGAACGTCAGGGATTGCATTGGCTGCTTGGATCACAGCAGTCCCCACAGTAGACTTGCCCACTCAAAATGGATTCCCGACTGACCGGTAGCAGACAGGCATTGCAAGCTTCCACAGGGCTATCGCCACTTGCTTCTCAACTGTCAGGGCAGCTCTCATCTTGGTATTCCTGAGCTTCAGGGCAGGGGAAAGCAACTCACAAAGTTCAAGGAAAGTGGCCTTATGCATGCAAAAGTTTCACAGCCACTGTGAATAATCCCATACCTGCAGCCCTATGCGGTCCCACCAGTCTGTGCTTGTTTGCCAGGCCCAGAATCGGCGTCCCACTGTATCAACCAGCCTCACTGCCGCCATGATGTCCCAATTGCCACAGCCCATGCTTTCAGGAATGTGTGTGTCCATGACCTCATCACAATCGTCCTCGTGCTGGCGTCTCTTAGCCCGGTCCTGCACATACTCCAGGATCATGGGCGAGGTGTTTACAATGCTCACAACAACAGCGGTGAGCTGAGCGGGCTCCATGCTTGCCATGGTATGGTGTCTGCACGGGTAACCCAGGAAAAAAGACGCAAAACGATGGTCTGCCGTTGCTTTCACGGAGAGAGGGATGACTGATGACATGTACCCAAAACCATCCTCAACAATGACAGGTTTCAGAGGAACAGCCGTGTTAGTCTGTATTCGCAAAAAGAAAAGGAGTACTTGTGGCACCTTAGAGACTAACCAATTTATTTGAGCATGAGCTTTCGTGAGCTACAGCTCACTTCATCAGATGCATACCGTGGAAACTGCAGCAGACTTTATATATACACAGAGAATATGAAACAATACCTCCTCCCACCCCACTGTCCTGCTGGTAATAGCTTATCTAAAGTGATCAACAGGTGGGCCATTTCCAGCACAAATCCAGGTTTTCTCACCCTCCACCCCCCCACACAAATTCACTCTCCTGCTGGTGCTAGCCCATCCAAAGGGACAACTCTTTACATAATCAAGTCGGGCTATTTCCTGCATAAATCCAGGTTTTCTCACATCCCCCCACCCCCATACACACACAAACTCACTCTCCTGCTGATAATAGCTCATCTAAACTGACCACTCTCCAAGTTTAAATCCAAGTTAAACCAGAACATCTGGGGGGGGGGAAACAAGAGGAAACAGGCTACCCTTGCATAATGACTTAGCCACTCCCAGTCTCTATTTAAGCCTAAATTAATAGTATCCAATTTGCAAATGAATTCCAATTCAGCAGTTTCTCGCTGGAGTCTGGATTTGAAGTTTTTTTGTTTTAAGATAGCGACCTTCATGTCTGTAATCGTGTGACCAGAGAGATTGAAGTGTTCTCCGACTGGTTTATGAATGTTATAATTCTTGACATCTGATTTGTGTCCATTTATTCTTTTACGTAGAGACTGTCCAGTTTGACCAATGTACATGGCAGAGGGGCATTGCTGGCACATGATGGCATATATCACATTGGTGGATGTGCAGGTGAACGAGCCTCTGATAGTGTGGCTGATGTTATTAGGCCCTGTGATGGTGTCACAATGTTTTTGCTCCATCAGGCATTGGGAGCTTAACCCAAAATTCCAATGGGCACCGGAGACTGCAGGAACTGTGGGACAGCTACCCACGGTGCACCGCTCCGGAAGTCGATGCTAGCCACAGCAGTGAGGACACACTCCGCCAACTTTATGTGCTTAGTGGGGACATACACAATCGATTGTGTAAAATCGATTTCTAAAAATCGACTTCTATAAAATTGACCTAATTTCATAGTGTAGACATACCCTAAGAGTCATCTCACCACTTCCCTGTTTTAAAAGGCTGCATATTGTTGGCATTGTCCTAGTGCGTGCTGCTGGCTGCAGCTCCTTCTTCTGTAGTGACACCCCGCAAGCAAGTTATTCTCCACGAGTGAAAATCCTACCCATATGGTATCTGCAAAACAGGGAGAATTACTTGCCTTTTAACTCTATTTCTCTAAAGATATCACTCCAGTTGCGTTCTCACCCAGCTGATGACCTCCCCTCAGATGACAGAGAGGAACCTGCTATTGAAGAGATGATTTTCTCTTAGATCTTTATTTCTGTAGCATTTTGAGACATTAATTTTTCATTCATTTTATTTTTGTTGTGATTTTTTCTTTGCAGAATCTCCACTTTCTGCTCAAATAGCAACTGCCTGGAAGGTTTCAAGTATGGCAATTAAGTTTCCTGGTTGGCGTAGGAATCACACACTAAGCCACTGCTACAGCCCTAAAGACCACAAACATTCAAACTCGAAGAGTTCCACCTATCTAGCTGTAGGAAGCAACTGATCCAGTGGAGAGAGTCCTTCCAAAATGACATCTTCAGATGGGAAGGGTAGGAATTCCCTTTTGCAAGCAAAATTGGTATTTCCAGTGTAATCTCCTTTTGCAAAAGCCTCCTAAAAGTAGAGCAGCGCAACTCCCTTTGAAACAGCATTAGAGATTTTAAAATGGTTTTATGGGTTCACAATTTAATTACAGAGAAAATATTCCAGTCAAGCATAAATAATTATTCAGTGTGGTTTGATGGCAACTGCATGCATAGGAGGAGTGACAGCAGCCGACAAAGCTAAAGCAGGGGAGTAAAAAAACCAAGCTATATTATCAGCTTTGCTACTGACTTAATAAACGGCATTGGGCAAGTCACTTAATTTTTGGTACTTCAGTTGCTCCAGCCATAATATACCTACCGCTGTAAAGTGCTTTGAGATCATAGGATGAAACACGCAATACAAGTATAAAATATTATGCCTACTGACATGATGCACATCACTTTTTTCTTTTGCACACTTATTTTCAGTAACATTTTTACGGTTTTAGAAATCAACTTGGGATAATACAGGTCATCCTTAAATTGCCATTCTTTACTATCATGTATATTTATAATTTGCATGGGAATGTCTACTTTGATGAAGTGAGCTGTAGCTCACGAAAGCTCATGCTCAAATAAATTGGTTAGTCTCTAAGGTGCCACAAGTACTCCTTTTCTTTTTGCGAATACAGACTAACACGGCTGTTCCTCTGAAACCTACTTTATCATAATCATCTAAGCTACAAAGGCATTTATAGTCTTCTAGGTTCCTCGCTTTATTTAAATTTACCAAGTTTGCTGAAAAGATCAGAATCAAACTGTTTAAAAAAAATGCACAACAAAAAGAAATACATCCATCATCCATTTCAGTTCAGTGCCCTAAACTTTCTATTGTAGTTTAATCCCATCATCTCTCAGAGTAAAGCCTGTTACTATATAAAAGGAAAGTGCAAAGCTCCCAATTTAAGGACTAGTTACAACTCATTAAAGTGAGGACACATATAATTTGAAGCATTAGAATTTATGCTGAAATATAATGAGTGGCTATGAATCAACCCTGCATGGATTAAACTAATTCCTGGAATGCTATTATAGAGAGTACCTTGTGCAGAAAGAATGATCCTTCTGTTTGCACAGCAACTACACAGCTTCAATTTACTTTTAATCAATTTGAATAGAGATAAAGCCCCAGCATTTCAAAATGTGGCCTTCTAAACATAATCAGCCTGAATTATGCCTGTTTCACACTGCAGTACTTGCAACCTGGTTACAGGAAGAAGGGATAAGGCTGCACTCAGTTTATTTCACTGCTTAATTTATATGGTAATTACAGCACCATAGCCAGAATGGAGAGCATCTGCCAAAACTGAAGGCCCCACAATAATAAAACTGACATATGCTGTGATATTGTTGAAGTGCTGACTAAGAAACTTCTTTTATCTCCTCTTGAAGCCATAAAATGGTATGCCTGTTATTACTAGCAGGGAATTTTAACAACTTTGCATTGACAGCAATTATGTAACACATGCACAAAACAATAGAGTTTCACATCACTTAATAAATCCTTGAGCTCTCTTAGTGCCAGCTCTCTTGCTGGCTGGATTTTATGGTCTGGTAACTCCATCTGACCTCCAAAATATTGGAGTATACAAACCACAATAGCAGTAGAAAGTTATTAGAAACAACTGGTTTTTGTCCCCATTAGATCGATTTAATAAACGGGGCATGATGCATAATCATGGGTTAATTAAAAGATTTGCTCATTCAATTTATTCTCTGTAACTAAATGTTGTTATGAACCTCTGGCAAGAAATCAAGCAAAATATACATGAGTTTACTCACTTTAAAAAAACCATCTTTTATCAAACATCTATCACGTGGGGGAAAATGTGAGTTCCTGACCCATATCATATTAAACAAACGTCAAGTTGTTTTGGATTGAAACTTTATCAGCATAAAACAATTGCTGTTGAATTTCTCTAAATCTGCATAATTACCACCAATTATCCCCCACTTGGCATCATCAGTCCAGAACTCCCAATACTAAATTCTAATGCATTTGTATTAGTACTTGGCATATAAAATTCCTAACTCCACTGCCAAGAATCTGGAACTAAACATACTGGAAATATTATTATTATAAAGGGTAAAGAGAGACAAAGAGAAGGTTAAGGGATGACTAGATTGCAGTCTATAAGTATCTACATGGGGAACAAATATCTAGCGGAGAAAGATATAACACAATCTAATGTCAGAAAGTTGAAGCTAGACAAATTAAGACTGGAAATAAAGTGTAAATTTATAACAGTGAGAGTGACTAACAATTGGAACAATCAAGAGTGGTGGTGGATTCCTCATCACTGAATTTTTAAATCAAGAATGGATGTTCTTCGAAAGATATGCTCTAGGAATTATTTTGGGGACGTTCTATGGCCTGTGCTATACAGGAGGTCAGATTAGATGATCACAATGGTCCCTTCTGGCCTTGGAATCTATAACTCTATGAAAGAAATACCTGTCAAAGAGGGATGATTGGCTGACTGGAAAAGAGGAGTACAGAGAAAGGTAAATAAGTTATAAATGTAGTGTAGCCTTTATACAAATACAGCTGTAGGGAAAGGTAAACTAGCAACGGGCAAATCCTTCCTCCCTTCCTTACACCAATCTGCCTGAATACCAACTATCTAGGGCAATTGCAAATTATGATTATTATTAATATAAAAGTTTATTCCTTTATTTGAATCCTAAACTCTCTGCCTCAATATCTTGTAGTAGTGAGGTCCATAAAATAATTATGCATTGCATAGAAAGGTTTTCCTTTTTCAATTTGCTGCCGTTAAATGTCATCGGTGTCCTCTTAGTCTTGTATCATTAGACATAGTAAAACAGGGAGGGAAGGGAAGGGAAAAAATAGATAATCATCTATATATATTTAAAGGGAGAATATATCAAGGGCAGAAAGGAATTGTTTAAGGAGTTAATTACATTCCATGACTCCTACTTTATGTAAAGAAAAATGTATCCTGGGCAATAGAAACCCTTCCCAACAGAGTGATTTATCGGATTTTGAAATAATATTCCAAGGGAAATTGCAGAAGTCCCACGTCCTCAGTATATGCACAAACCAATACAGGCCAAAGCATTTAAAAATAAAATGTAGGAAATAATCTTGCACTGACAGGGGGAGGAACCAGGTGACCTAACAGCTCTGTTCCTTATATACCTCCTATCAGTCCACGTTTTTTAGCAAGTTACCTGCAGGACATTAGGCATATACCATTATCTATTTAAGCTGTGAGCCACAAGGCCAGACAACTTTGTATGACAGCTGAGTGAATATCTCAAAAAACATTTCCAGGAATATTCACTCAAAATAAAAATTCAATGTTGCTTTGTCTATGTTTGCACCCCTTTTGGGTCTGCTTTCCGAGAATAGTCCAGCAGTTGAGTTTACTGGCAAAAACATTCACAAGAAACAATGAATTTTAAGTGAATATGAGAGACTATCTGCAGAAAGCAAATTTTGAACTTAAGCATGAGTATTTACATTGGAAATCTGCTTCTAAAGGTTAATCTCATTCACACAGGGATAAGAGAAAAGTAAACTGCAAAACACCTCTGGCATCTGGGCTGATCTGTAGAAGTACAGGCAGGAAAAGGTTATGAGGCTAAAAGATCAAGACAGCTGGATCTCATCAAACAGTCAAGGCCAACTGACTTGTACAGCAGAAAAGGAAGTGGCCCAGAGTAGACTAGCGGAGATAGCCTTGAGCTTAGAAAAGAGATGGGCTGTGAATTGAAGCATAGAGTTCCTGGACTAGTAAAATTGTATGGATTTTTTTTTTAAATATGAACTGCCATTTGCATGCTGGTGGGGGAATAGCATTAGCAGAACTGCTGTTTACACCACTGAGGGAAAGCCATTTACTTGAACTGGTTTTGCACCCAGAAAGGAGGGTGTTGGTGAGGAATACACCATTAACTTGTGTGAAGCCCAAAATGTTCAGCTAATTCTATAAACAGCAGTTCAAACAAAGCTTTCCTCTCCTGAGTGCATATAACCAGCTGGGAGGGCAGAATAATGTCCGAGTTTAAAGGGTTGGAGAGGGAGACAATCTTTTCTATTACAAGGCCCATATATATAGTCTATTCAACTGACCAGTATCAACCTGACATTATCCACAAATAGGGACATCTCTTTCAGTACCATCTGTATCAGTGATACCAAATAAGCCAAATAGTTACTGAAGAACATCTCTATTAGAGTACAAAACAGTGTAACTAAAAACCCGTTGTGTCATTAGACTCTTTAGGTTCATGAGGGAAAGCTTCCAGAGCTTTTCTAAAATCAGTTTTAATCCTATTTATAGGGTCAAAAGCAAAATGTCTCTGAGAAAGAAACAAGAGCATCCCAGCTGGAAATAGAAGAGTGGGCATGAGGGAGATCAGGAGAAGGAATGGGATGGGATCACGGGGACAAGTGGAGAGGTTACAGAAGGAGAGCAAATGAGACACTTCTGTATCTATGACAGGGAAGAAGGAAGAGTGCTGGAGGGGAATTAGTAGAATCAGAATTGCTCAAGGGTGTT